GGAAAGCGCGGGACGAGAAGGGGTGAGCCACGGCCAGGTAGCGATCGACGCTGATGCAGGTGAGCAGCAGCACAGAGCAGTACATGTTCCCGTAGAAGAGAGCCGTGCTGAGGCGGCACAGCCCTTCCCCAAAGGGCCAGTGGTTGCCCAGGAAATAGTAGGAGATCTTGAAGGGCAGCACGGAGACGAGCAGCAGGTCGGCGGTGGCCAGGTTCATCAGGAACACGGTGGAGGCGAGGCGCTCGGCCCTGGTGGCCAGCACCCACAGGGCCAGCGCGTTGGCCGGCAGCCCCAGCACGAACACCAGGCTGTAGAGGCTGGGGATGAGCCGGACGGTGACGGTGCTGGCCAGCTGGGCACGGGTGGCCTCGGGGATCAGCAGGTACGTGATGTTGTTGACCGTGGCCTGGTCCCCCGGGATGGCTCGGGGACACGGGGTGACCTCTGATGTGGTGGCCTGCTCGCTGGTGCTGTTCTGAGAGTAATCTGTGAGAGGAAGGCAGGCTGTTACTCACTCAGCAGGGCAGGCTGCACACACAGCTCACCCCAAAGCTGCTCTTTATCTTCTCTCTTGGGGTCCCTGCAGCTGGGGGTGTTCTGGAAAGGCTGTGGTGTGATGGGCAGAAAAAGCTGGCTGGCAGAGGTGTGCAGGAGCCACCCACAGCCACCTTTCTGAGAACATCCCTGCTTCCTTTGCCCTGTGGTTTCCCACAGCTCACAATGGACTGTGATGCTCTACAGCCATGAACAGGCCTGGGAATCCAGAGAGAAATTCCTCTGCACAGCCATGAACAGGCCTGGGAATCCAGAGAGAAATTCCTCTGCACAGCCATGAACAGGCCTGGGAATCCAGAGAACAATTCCTCTGCCAGGCTTTCACAAAAATCCAAAGGTCTGAAGCCCCTCCAGTGTAAAGTTGTATCTCTGGGAGTATAATTAGCTAAAGATTTAGCTTTTAGTCCTTTCTGTTTTACTACTCTTCTATTTTTCCTTTCTCTTTCTAGTTTCTTCCAGCCCAGCTTCTTTCTCTGCTGTATCACCTCTGTCAACCTCCTGCTTCAACAAGAGCCCACACAAAGCTCTATCAGAGCATCCTCCCATGTGAACTCATTAAAAAATGAGTTTGCAGGGATCTTACAAAGGTCCCAAATCCCCAGCACTTTAACAGGCAGCAGCTTTGCACCCAAAGGCACGCACTCACCATCGTAGTCCGAGGCCAGGCAGAGTCCCCAGAAGGCACAGCAGAGCAGGAGCCGCCTGTCCCCGAGGGTCCCCATGGCAGCTCAGGGTCCGCAGCCACACCACAGTGCCGGAGCTGCGTGGGAGCAGCAGCATCAGGGACCCTGCTCACGCATTTCCTCCTGCTGCTCCTTAACTCTCGGAAGCAACAGAGCCGATCCTGGCAGGATGAGGGAATGGAGGGGCTGTCACCACCAGCAGGAGCGTGGGCTGCCCAAGCTCAGGCTGGACAACCCCAGCGTCAGAGCTGGGGCTGGGAGGGGCTTGTTTATCCAGGCCCAAAGTGTTTCAGGGCTCCACTTCAGCCTCAGCGTGAGATGATGGCTCAAATGACTCATCTGGGTCTCCTTCCGGAATATTCCTGGAAATAACAAATGTGGTTGTGTTTGGTGCAGTCTGCACGTAAACGGAGCCCGTGCGCCTCTGCCCATGGAAATGCTGAGCATCCTCCCACGGCAGAGACCTGAGTGGTTCTGTGGGTGAGCTGAGGTCTTTTCCTAAAGCCTGAGTCACAACATTTTCTGGTACTACAAACAGGGAGCTCTCCCAGATACCAGAGCTGCAGACCACACAGATCTCTGGTGATTGCACAGGGCTCCTGTGGATTCGTGTTCTGGCAGTGGAAGACTTTTAGTGTCAGCCTTGCAGCCTCCACATCAGGCTGGGCCCTTCAGAGTTCCTGTCTATTCCTGCTCCTGCTTCCTGGCTCCTGCACTTTGTGATTTTACTGCAGAGGATGGGTTGGAGATCTTTGCACTTGAAAGCAGCAGCAGGAGCACCATGAGCACCAAGGGCGAGTGGCAAAGAGAGGGAGACGCTTTTGCTTCCGCTGATAAACCCCTGGAACAGGGAGAGCAGCTCCCTGCAGCAGGAAAGGGGCCTGAAAAGGGCACGCAGGAAGTCCCTGCTGTTGGAGGAGATAATGGGGAGTTCCAGCCACCCCTGCCCCATAAAATGCTGCCTTTTCTCAGAGCTGAGCAGTCCCACCCTGTAAAAGCCCCACTCTGGGATAAGAACTTGGAGCAGCACATGGAGCTGCTGGTTGTGCTCAGAGGACAGCCCAGATAATGCTGTAACAGGGACTGGCAGAGGTTAACTGAGCTTAAGATCCTTTGCTGCTGGGTCCCTGTGCTCTAACCCCCAGAGCAGGTCCCTTCTGTGCTCTGGGAAGCTCCCAAAGCCTCTCCCACCTCCCGTGTCAGAGCCCCAGAGTGGCCCTGGCCATCTCCTGCACAGGCCAGTGGGACAGGAGGTCATGGCTGGAGAAGGTGCTGGGCTTTGGGCTGTTCTCCACAGTCTGTGCCTGGCTCTGCAGGGAAGGAAGGACAGGAGCTGGAGCCCAGGCAGTAGGAACTGTAAATTTGGTTTGGCAACCTGAGGAGCAGCTCGTTTCTTTCTCCTCGCCTCATGAATGGCTTCTTCTGTCAAGGTTGCAAATCTGAGCCTGGCTGCTGTTTGATGAGATTCTTCTATTCCAAGGAGAAAATGATCCTATTTCCTTTGCTTTCACCGTATTCCCACATCCTTGTGCCGAGCATGTCGAGAGGTGGAGTTCCACTGGCAGCGAGAGGGAAGATGCAATGTTAGATGTTTTGCTTTTGCGATTCTCTCAGGATTTATGAACCATTACAGAATGACTCATGTGGCCACATATTTTCCATGCCTCTGCCAGGATCCTTTCCATGCTCTGTATGCAAAAAATTAGCCATAATCAGGTTCAGATAGTGTGCAAATCACAGCCCTGCTTCCTATGGGCAGGTCTCTGGAGTGGAGCAGAGGAGTTACTCATCGCTGTATCCTTCATTTTTCAGATGCTGTGTGATCTTTAGTGACTGCCTTAGATGCAGAACAGCTTGCCTGAAAATTCTAACGCCAGAGGTTTGTCACGGCTTGTTAACATCTCTTTAAGTCGTGTGATCCCTGCCCTGTGGGGTAACAATTTGGTTTTAAAGTAATTCATTGTGCAATAGATCATGTCCTGGGAGCAGGGCTCTGAACCCAAACGATGTAATGCTGGAAATCGGGCTGGGATTTCAGAGCTCAGAGGGAGGGGATGGACACCACCTGGCCTGCCCCAAACATCTTGGAGGCTTGGAAGAGCAAAGTGTGGTGGGTAAAGGATGGGATTCACCGCTGCTGCTCCATTCCAGCGGCTCCAGAGGGTTCCTGAGCAGCAGCTCGGAGCTGCCTCTGCAGGCTCTGCAGGAATAAAGTGCCCTTAAACCTCAGGCACTCTCAGGTCCCCTCCTCTCCCTCCTGCTGGTCCCACAGCTCTGCTGTTCCTCTGGGATCCCACCCAACCTGCCCTGGGTGATCCATGGTTCTCCTCAGCCTCACGCTGCTGCAGAACTCCTTAGGGAGGTTTTTCAGAGCTGCTCTTCTGCTTGCTGGCAGTTTTCACTTCACACCATAAAAGTCCATGTGAAGACATTTTCCAGCAATATTTGAAGCTTATTAACACCCCTACAACTCAGTGTTCTGGGGTAGCTTTTTGGGGGCCCTTCTCAGCAAGATAGTGACACTAGGATGGGGGCTACCTGGTCTGACACAGCCATCATCATCATCATCATCATCATCATCATCATCATCATCATTCCTTTTCAGCACGATCCAAATCTTTGGATTTATTCTTTAGCACAGGTTAGGAGTTTTAATTTAGTCTTTAAATTGAATTAGTTCTAATCCAGAGCAATGGCTAAAACATGAAGAAAACTTCAATTTATGTTTGCACACACAGTTTGAGACTCTCTCACAGGTTCACAGCCTTGACCCTCCCAGTGCATCCCTGAGATGTGGAAATGCATAAAAAAAGGTCCTGGAATGTTAAATGTGAACTCAGGTACTCCCTTTAGCGACTCTGAGTTTAGTTGTGCAAACCATTTATACCTATTCCATGCTGCAGACCCAAAGGATGTCTCTAAGCTGTTTGCTGTTGCCAGAGCTGTCCACAGGCTGAGATCTCCAAGTGCTCTCATGTCACATCTGGCTGTCCCTCCCCTCAAGTGCAGGGAACATCTCCTTTGTGAGAGGGGCCAAGACTTGTGCAAAGCAGGCTGTGTCCTCTGAGACCCCCCCACCACCATTTTAATCAAATTATTCCATGCAATCGATGCACCAGAGGATTTTTACTGGGAGAACAACAGTTTGTTTCCCTGTGAGCGAACACGGGGCTGCACAGAGAGCAGAGCTGCCTTTTGTTATGGCAACGGAAGTGTTGGGGATGATGTAAAGGAAACTCCTATCAGCTCTGGGTCACATCACTACAGCTTAATTTGCAAAATCCACTCATTCATTTGTCGTGCAGAGCTCACAGGGAACACAGTTAAACATGTTATTACCCAGGAATTTGGGGAGGCTGAGGAAAAGGCGGGTGGAGGGTTATTTTCATGGTTGCAGTTGTGTTGTTTTAACCTGTAGCAGATGTGCTTGTGGGGTTGGGAACTGGAATCAGCCTCTTCTCTCGAGCCCTGGTTGTGTTCGGGGTGGGATTCCCAGGGCCAGGCCTGGGCTGTGCCTCACCTCTGGCAAAGGTGCTGCTAGGAAGGAACCCCAGGCTGCAAAAAGTCACTGCCTGGCAGGACACAAATCCAGAGCTGGGAGGGACCCCCAGGGATGATCAGTGCAGCCCCTGGCCCTGCCCAGACCCCCCAACAAGCCCACCCTGAGCATCCCTGAGAGCGCTGGCCAAACGCTCCTGGAGCTCTGGCAGCCTTGGGGCCGGGCCCATTCCCTGGGGAGCCTGGGCAGTGCCAGCAGCCTCGGGGGGAAGAACCTTGCCCTGAGATCCATCCCAAGCCCTGGCACAGCTCCAGCCCTTCCACTGTTTGCTTTTAAGACCTCTCCAGTGGAGCAACTGTGCCACCCCCTGGACTCCCTGCTCCAGCCACGGGCCTGGGCTCCAGGAGAGGTTTTGGCAGCTCCCAGGTGAGTGCAGCCCCAGCTCCTGCTGGGATCTCTGCTTGCAGGAAATGTATTTCCCTTTTCCATTTTGGAGTGCACTGCTCACACCCTCACACAGCACTTACTGACACACAGCTGCATCAGCACATCCTGCAGCCTGTCCAGGAACTTCAACCTTTCCACTGCATTTTTCTACAATTTAAAAATCAGTTTCAGGTAAAAGACAATCAATTCTGGGGGTAGTCACAAAGTTTAAATTAATTGAAAAGAAACATAAAACAGTGAGAGCTACAGACTTTTAAAATCAATATTTTATTTTACTTGAATGTGCAAATAAATATAAAAAAAAACTACATTCAAGGAGCTGGCAAAGCAATTACAAGCCCAAAAGCAAAGATCCTTCAAACAAATGGAAGAACAAACTCTTGACTCAAGGTCGTGCAGATACACAGCTGAAACCCTCAGACATGAACAAGCCCCTCTCAAACCTGCCTGATCTTCCCTTCACATCCCTTGCTACTCTCAGCTTTGAGACAATAGCACTGTAAAGGGCAAAAGTCTTGCTTAATCAGTTCAGATTATAAATTAAGGTTTACAAAATAAGGATGCTTAAAAATACCTGAAGTACACTTAGAATGGGTTGATGGAACAGGACGGTGCCCAGGGGTGTTCCCACCTTGGTACACCTGGAATCAAACGCATTTTAAGCCACAAGTTGCCACCTATTTTCTAGTAAACAGTTCTCTGTATCATAAAACCATAAAATTTGGCACAATTGTCATCTCCACTGGGAGACAGCAGAGAGGTGAGCAGGACTGAGGCGTGTTTTGGTGAGCTGGCTGGAAGGGAAAGGGGGACACTGTGCTTTGCACTGGGCTTGTCCCCCTGCTCCCCCCAGCCCTTGCAGAGCCACGTGGTCTCTTATCATTGCAAGGAGGGCAGGGGAAGAACCTTCAGCTCATTTCAGGAACCAAAGTTTAGCAGAGACCCAGCTGAGGAGAACACGGGCCCTTGATGAAATGTCTCTGCTGGCAGTGGTTGTGCAAGTGGCCACAAATGCCAGAGAGTGGCCTCCCTCCTTCCCTCCCACAGATTATTTTGCAAAAAAGACAAAGACTTGGGACAGTTTTCTATTAAATGTACCCCAAAGGCCAATTTTTCTACTGTCAAGTGAGACAATTGCGAAACCAAATGTCATACAGTGGAAATAACCCAG